ACTGACACTGCTGCTTTATTGTGATGCCAGGGACTGGAGTGAAATGTGGATTTTAAAGATGTCTCATTGGAGGTGTCTAACTGCAATAGAACTCGAGTAAGTCAATAAGCAAAGCAGCTGATGGAGAATTTCAAGGGGTTTTCATTTTATTTCTTCTTCCACGGCAGATTTTGTGTGATTTTGAACCAGCGGTCACAACTTTTACAAGCCTCAGTTTCATTATTTGCAAATACTAACTGGTTATAAATAAGGTGGTGCAACTAGGGAAGCTAAAGTTCTTAAAAAAGTTAATGGCAACTTGAGATCAAGATTAATTCCTTACATATTCTGTTTGGATAAAACATTTGTCCCAAACAGGAGGGAGGGCACCTTGTCAGCCCCACCTTTGACGCTACTCTAGTTGAAAACAAAATCAACCTGAGTTTAGGGAATAAGACTTAATAGAAATTCTTACCTCTTTCCTATTTTTTATTCACCATCGAGAAAGATACAGTTGGTTTTTAATTAAATCCAGATTTCTAGCCGGGCGCGGTGGCTCAAGCCGGTAATCCCAGCACTTTGGGAGGCCGAGGCGGGTGGATCACGAGGTCGAGAGATCGAGACCATCCTGGTCAACATGGTGAAACCCCGTCTCTACTAAAAATACAAAAAATTAGCTGGGCATGGTGGCTCGTGCCTGTAATCCCAGCTACTCAGGAGGCTGAGGCAGGAGAATTGCCTGAACCCAGGAGGCGGAGGTTGCGGTGAGCCAAGATCGCGCCATTGCACTCCAGCCTGGGTAACAAGAGCGAAACTCTGTCTCAAAAAAGAAAAAAAATCCAGATTTCTAAGAGATATACCAGGCCATCATATGGAGACAATATTGAGGTAATTGCAAAACAATGTCTATGCTATTTTGCTATGTGGACAATACGGAAAACACTAGAAAAATGTATGTTTAATGAAATGTAGCTGAAAGATTGCTTTCAGAGCATTTCGTATTCTTAGATACCAGCTTGGACAATTCAGGCAAAACTGTACCAGCTCCAGGTTAGATTAGTGACTGGGTGTCAGGATATTCTGTGTAAATGATTACATATTTACTTCTTCTTCTTCTTTTTTTTTTACACATTGACTTCTTAAATTTAGGATTAGGAAAAAAGCCTTTCATCTCCACCTCTCCCCTATTTCACTTGCCAGAACAATTGGTGGTGATTAAGAAGCCATCCTGCAAATAATGTTTTTAGTTAAGTCATCTAATGCCCCAGTTATCTGGTTACTGGCAGGCAGTGAGGTGAGGATTTGGTTAGTAGAGTCAAACAGAGGAGCAGTAATCTGATTAGCCTGTTGCCATCTGAGGCTGTCGGCTAAGACAGTGGCTAATTGGGTGGGGAGCAGTTTTGCTGGGTGAGGTTTAGTTTCCAACACTGTAGGAATCTGCTGCTCCAAAAAGTCTCTTTTAGAACTATCCCCTAGCAAAGAATGTCCCTCAGCCTGTAGATTGCCTCATCAACCCATCAAACATGCTCTACCCACCCCACCCCACCCCCACCTTTTTTTTTTTTTTTTTTTTTCCATATAACAATATCAGAGCCACAACAGCTGCAGACCAGATTTCCAATCAGGTCATTTGTTTTTATACTTTAGGGCCAATCGATTTCTTTTTCTGCTAAGTTTCACAGCCAGAAGGGCCAGAGATCTGAGTGTGGTACCTACCATGGGGTAGGTACCAAAAGCCTTTGTAGTTTGGCAAGTGGCTGTTTCTTCTGGTCTACAGGTATAGAAGGGACATTTTTATTTTTTATTTTTTTTAAATGCTGAAAGCCAGTGGCTATACGATTTAGAGAGCCAGGAAGTGAAGTTACCTTGATCTTTTTCTTTTCTTTTTCCTTTTTTTTTGAGACAGAGTCTCATTCTGTGGCCAGGCTGGAGTGAAGTGGCACTATCTTGGCTCGCTGCAACCTCCGCCTCCAGGGTTCAAGCAATTCTCCTGCCTTAGCTTCCTGAGTAGCTGGAACTACAGGTGCGCACCACCACGCCCAGCTATTTGTTTGTATTTCTTAGTAGAGACGGGGTTTCACCATGTTGGCCTGGGTGGTCTCGATCTCTTGACCTCGTGATCCGCCCGCCTCGGCCTCCCAAAGTGCTGGGATTACAGGCGTGAGCCACCGTGCCCGGCCTTTTTTTTTTTTTTTTGAGACTCACTCTGTCACCCAGACTCTGTGCAGTGGCACGATCTTGGCTCACTGCAACCTCTGCCTCCTGGGTTCAAGCGATTCTCCTGCCTCAGCCTCCTGCGTAGCTGGGATTACACCACCATGCCTGGCCAATTTTTGGGGTATTTTTAATAGAGATGGGGTTTCACCATGTTGGCCAGGCTGGTCACAAACTTCTGACCTTGTGATCTGCCCGCCTCGACCTCCCAAAGTGTTGGGATTACAGGCGTCAGCCACCGCACCCGGCATACCTTTTTTTTCAGCCTCTTATCCCGCCCCAGATCCCTGCTCTTTCTCTTCTGGCATCCCCTTTTCTGTTGTCTTTCATCTACAGAGCCGTGGCATGATGATATTCTGGCCTCTTAGCCACCCAGCCTTTCCGATTTGGGTCCCTGGGTCTCCAGGGAAGGATGGGGAGGTGGGTGGCAGAGGAGGAGTATAGAAGGGTTTGTGTTTGCTCCCTCTGTTAAAAGAGTTTAGAATAATGGCCATTGTCCTTACCTGTGGGATGGGATTGGTGCAAAGGCTCCTAAAACCGGAGGCAATTGGTTCTCTTTGGTTCACCTGCTCATATGCTGCCACCTAGTGGTTCCTTCTCCTTTAGCACCCTGTGTGAAGCGGAGGGGACGTTATGGACACTTCCATATTGCCCATATCTCACTTGGGTTTTTTTCCTCCTAAACCCAAAATTTCCCCTTTTCATCCATGTAACTATTCGTAATACACAAAACTGTTTCCTTCTTTTTACTCCTGGGTCGGATAATCTGGAAATGAATAGTTGGTATAAGATCTTTTCTTTTTTCTTTCTTTTTTTTTTTGAGACAGAGTTTCGCTCTTGTTACCCAGGCTGGAGTGCAATGGCGCGGTCTCGGTTCACCACAACCTCCGCCTCCTGGGTTCAGGCAATTCTCCTGCCTCAGCCTCCCGAGTAGCTGGGATTACAGGCACGCGCCACCATGCCCAGCTAATTTTCTGTATTTTTAGTAGAGATGGGGTTTCACCATGTTGACCAGGATGGTCTTGATCTCCTGACCTCGTGATCCACCCGCCTCGGCCTCCCAAAGTGCTGGGATTACAGGTGTGAGCCACCATGCCTGGGCCTGAATAGGCATTTCTATAGCTGCTCAGTTGCCTGTCTTTCAACATTTCTCCTGTAGAGTCAGGCAATAATATTAGCTACCCTTATTGAGCAGTTATTATGTGTCAGGCATTGTTCCAAGTTCCATTACACATGTTAAATCATTTAATATTCCTAATCACTTATACACAGTGAATAGAGTATATCCCTTCTAAGGTTACGAAGCTGAGGCATAAAAAGTCAAACAACTTGTTCTAGAGAGCACAGTAGACAAGGAACTGAGATTTATTCCCAGGCTGCCTGGTTGTAGATGCTATGCTCTTAATAACTATGTTTTGCTGCCTCTTAATGTGCAGGTAACCTGAGTGCTAGGTACAGGCAACAGGAAAGAGAAAAAGGGAGCCTCGTATCCATACTTAAGTCCTCCTAAGAGCATTTCCTCAGCCCCTACCTGGGAGGTGTAGTGCAAGAAACATGGGTTAAGTAACCCAAGGCCTGAAAAGGAACTCTTCAATGTGCTGACTCCAAGGCCTTGCTTCTGGTTCTGCCTCATTTCGGAGATACAGCACATAGCAAAAAAACCATGTGGCTGGCTGGGAGTGATGGGTGGCTCATGCCTGTAATCCCAACACTTTTGCAGGCTGAGGCGGGTGGATCACTTGAGCTCAGGAATTTGAGACCAGCTGGGCCAACATGGTGAAACCCTGTCTCTATAAAAATACAAAAATTGGCCAGGTATGGTGGTCCAGCCACCCAATAGTTTCAGCACTTTAGGGGGCCGAGGTGGGTGGATCACTTGAGGTCAGGAGTTCAAGACCAGCCTGATCAACATGGTGAAGTCCCATCTCTACTAAAAGTACAAAAATTAGCCAGGTATGGTGGTGTGCACCTATAATCCCAGCTACTTGGGAGGCCGAGGCAGGAGAATTGCTTGAATCAGGGAGGGGGCAGTTGCAGCAAGCCAAGATCATGCCACTGCACACTAGCCTGGGCAACAGAGCAAGACTCCGTCTCAAAAACAAACAACCAGGCCGGGTGCGGTGGCTCAAGCCTGTAATCCCAGCACTTTGGGAGGCCGAGGCGGGTAGATCACGAGGTCAAGAGATCGAGACCATCCTGGTCAACATGGTGAAACCCCGTCTCTACTAAAAATACAAAAAATTAGCTGGGCATGGTGGCGCGTGCCTGTAATCCCAGCTACTCGGGAGGCTGAGGCAGGAGAATTGCCTGAACCCAGGAGGCGGAGGTTGCGATGAGCCGAGATCGCGCCATTGCACTCCAGCCTGGGTAACAAGAGCAAAACTCGGTCTCAAAAAAAAAAAACAACCAAACAAACAAAAAAAACAAAAATAAGCCAGGTGTAATGGTGGGCACCTGTAATCCTAGCTACTCGGGAGTCTGAGGCAGGAGAATTGATTGAACTCAGGAGGTGGAGGTTGCAGTGAGCAAGAACACGCCACTGCACTCCAGCCTGGGCAACAGAGCAAGAGCAAGACTCTGTCTCAAAATAAAATAAAATAAAATAAAATAAAATAAGGAAAAGAAAAGGACAAAGAAAGAAAACAGCAGACCTGGGTCCCAGAGAAGAGTGCTCTGAAAGACAATTACAAGCCTCCTTCTTTCTTTGGGCTTTTCTCTTGGGCTGTCCCCACTTTGTTGGAAGGTGGTGAAAATGCCCAGAGCTGACATATTGATACCATTACAAAAAGGAACTCAACATAATCACACATGTCAAGGAACCAAATCTCAAATTTATTTGTGCTTTTCAAACCAGCCAGAACAACCAGCAACGTCCTCCTCCCAAGGTTTCCTTCTCTCTCACCTTCTTTGTGAAAAGCTTGTGGAAAAGGCAAATGTGGATGTGTGGACACATTTAGAGATGGGGATGAGCTGTGAGTAGGCTGGTTTAGTAACAGTTTTGATGAACGGGCCTCTTCGCACTTGTCTTACTGGTAGCTTACAGTCACTATGAGGTGTCAGAAACTTGGGTCTCTTCAGTAAAGAGAGAAGTCCAAGGCGTTGGTGGGGTGGCAGAAGTAGGGAGTGGGAACTTTCGATTATCAATTTCCTCATAAAGGCAGGATAGAGGGAAGAATATATTTCCTAAAGGAGGAAAAATATATAAATTTGCTTTTCTGATTCAAAATATAGAAGTATTAAAGGGCACAGAGTATAACATTTTCCCCTCTGTCTCTCAGTTTCTCTCTTCTTGGAGGCAACCATGATATCATTTTGTGTCTCCTTCTAGAAATATACCATACAAATATAAACAAATAGGTATATATAGTCTCCAGTCTTTTTTTATACAAATGGGGCAAATGTGGCTTCCATTCTTTGCTGTTTTTTTTTTTTAACTTAACAACATATCTCAGAATGTGTTCCATGATAGTTTCCCTTTCTTTTTTACTGTTGCATAATATTCAATTCTATGAATGTACAATAGTTATTTGACTATTAAACATTTAGGTCGTTTCCAAGCTATTACAATGAACCTTATGTACCTGTCATTTTGCATGTGTGCAAGTATAGCTACAGGGTAATTTCTTTCTTTTTTTTTCTATTTTTACCCAAACCAAAAATGGTCAATAGGATAAATTCTTAGAAATAGAAAGGTTGGCTGTAATCCCAGCACTTTGGGAGGCCGAGGCGGGCAGATCCGAAGATCAGAAGTTCGAGACCATCCTGGCCAACATGGTGAAACCCTGTCTTTAAAATGGGCCAAAGACAATGAAGAGGTAAATAAATAAATGACCAAGTGAAAAAGGGTAAATTTGTTTGTTATTTTTATTTATTTTATTTATTTATTTATTTTTGAGACGGAGTCTCATTCTGTCACCCAGGCTGGAGTGCAGTGCTGTGATCTTCGCTCACTGCATCCTCAGCCTCCTAGGTTCAAGTGATTCTCCTGCCTCAGTCTCCTGAGTAGCTGGGACTACAGGCGCATGCCACCATGCCTGGCTAATTTTTTGCATTTTTAGTAGAGATGGGGTTTCACCGTGTTAGCTAGGATGGTCTCTGACCTTGTGATCCACCCACCTCAGTCTCCCAAAGTGCTGGGATTACAGGCATAAGCCACCGTACCCAGCTTATTTTTTTATTTTTTTGAGATGGCGTCTCTCTGTCACCCAGGATAGAGTGCAGTGGTGCGATCTTGGCTCACTGCAACCTCTGCCTCCCGGGTTCAAGCAATTCTCTTGCCTCAGCTTCCCAAGTAGCTGGGATTACAGGTGCCTGCCAATACGCCTGGCTATTTTTTTGTATTTTTAGTGGAGATGGGGTTTCATCATGTTGGTCAGGCTGGTCTTGAACTCCTGACCTCAAGTGATCTGCCTGCCTTGGCCTCTGAAAGTGCTGGGATTACAGGCATGAGCCACCACACCTGGTTGGGTGAATTTGTTTAGATTTGACAGAAAAATTCCAACCGTCTACACTTACGGCCAGAGAACAGAGTCTTCATCAGGAAAGTCATAAAGTCAAACCTTGTGTGACAGGTGTTGTATGGGTGTACAAGGGCATTGGAGAATAAGATCTATCCTTATGTATCTTCCTAAATGAATTCACCCAGCTGCTGCTGCACACTGGAGTGGGCTCTGGTCTGGACTCCAAGGACTGTGTATCACTATCACATTGATGCCATTCTTTCCCCTGAACAATGAAGACTATTCCCATTTCAAGGTAGAAGATGGTGCTAGCAACAACATGCTGGTCTTAGGGGCCCTCCATCAGCATCTTTTTTTTTTTTTTTTTTTTGAGACGGAGTTTCGCTCTTGTTACCCAGGCTGGAGTGCAATGGCGCGATCTCGGCTCACCGCAACCTCCGCCTCCTGGGCTCAGGCAATTCTCCTGCCTCAGCCTCCTGAGTAGCTGGGATTACAGGCATGTGCCACCATGTCCAGCTAATTTTTTTTTTTTTTTGTATTTTTAGTAGAGACGGGGTTTCACCATGTTGACCAGGATGGTCTAGCATCTTAATTTTAACCAAAACCCACTCTGCACCAAAGTAGCTCCCACTATTACCCCACCCAACCAAGCACCTACTTCCACTATTTTGAAACACAATGTGGTTCTTGCTAATAAAACACAAACCTATTTTTCTTTTTTGGAGACAGGGTCTTGTTCACCTAGGCTGGAGTGCAGTGGCTCAGTCATGGCTCACTGCAGCCTCAACCTCCTGGGCTCAAGCAATCCTCCCACCTTAGCCTCCCAAGTAGCTGGGCCTACAGACATGCACCACCACACTTGGCTAATTTAAAAAACATTTTTTGGTAGGGCAGATGTGGTGGCTCACACCTGTAATCCCAGCACTTTGGGAGGCCGAGGTGAGCTGACTGCTTGAGCTCAGGAGAGACAGTAAAACCCTGTCTCTACTAAAACACACAAAAAATTAGCTGGGCGTGATGTGTGCCTGTAGTCCCAGCTACTAAGAGGCTGAGGCAGGAGAATTGCAAGAAACCAGGAGGTGGAGGTTGCAGTGAGCTGAGATACTCCCACTGCACTCCAGCCTGGGTGACAGAGCAAGACTCTGTCTCAAAAAAGTTCTCAAAAAAATTTTTTTTTTGGTAGATACGGGTTTTCACTATGTTGCCCAGGCTGGTGTCAAACTCCTGATCTCAAGTGATCCTTCTGCCTTGGCCTCCCAAAGGGGATTACAAGTGTGAGGCACTGCGCCTGGCCCTGCAAACGATATTCTTTGTTACTTAATTTGATTTGATTATGTTCCATAGGAATCTTTGTATTGGAGTTTTAATCTTGGGTCAGTCATATTGCAGCATGTGGGCATTTTGGGGAAATGGTACCCTGGACTTGAAAACTGGGGATAAACCCAGATCCATCCCTGTGGCAAAATTCCTAGGTTTCTCCCAACATCCATTCTTCCATTTGTATTTAATCACGAATCTCTCAATTCTAAGCTGGACATGGGGCTATACACTTTCTTTACAGCTTGTCGTATACCTGTACATGTATTCCAACTTCTGGCCAATGGAATGTGAGAGGAAGTTTGTGTGCAACATCTGTGAAGTGTCCTTAAGGGAGAGGATACGCTTTTCCTTTTTTTTTGAGATGGAGTCTTACTCTGTCACCCCGGCTGGAGTGCAATGGCGTGGTCTCAGCTCACTGCAGCCTCTGCCTCCCAGGTTCAAGTGATTCTCCTGCCTTAGCCTCCCAGTAGCTGGGACTACAGGTGCCTGCCACCTCACCAAGCTAATTTTTGCATTTTTATTAAAGATGGGGTTGCACTGTGTTGGCCAGGCTGGTCTCAAACTCCTGACCTTGTGATCCGCCTGCCTTGGCCTCCCAAAGTAATGGGATTACAGGTGTGAGCCACTGGGCCTGACCTCCTTTTTTTTTGAGACAGAGTCTCACTCGTCTGTTGCCCAGGCTGGAGTGCAGTGGCATGATCTTGGCTCACTGCAACCTCTGCCTCCCAGGTTCAGGTGATCCTCCTACCTCAGCCTCCCGAGTAGCTGGGATTACAGGGGTATGCCACCATGCCTGGCTACTTTTTTGTATTTTTAATAGAGACAGGATTTTACCATGTTGGCCAGGCTGGTCTTGAACTCCTGACCTCAAGTGATCCTCCTGCCTTAGCCTCCCAAAGTGCTGGGATTACAGGTGTGAACCCCTGTGCCTGGCCTGACCATCTCCTTTTATCTTTCCTGCATCACTTACCTCTAGATTTTTACAGAAAAGAAAAATACATTTCTTTTCTTTTCTTTTTTTAAGACGGGGTTTCACCATGTTGGTCAGGCTGGTCTTGATCTCTTGACCTCAGGTGATCTGCCCGCCTTGGCCTCTAAAGTGCTTGGATTACAGGCGTGAGCCACCACGCCCAGCAGAAAAATACATTTCTGTGTTAACTTTTTTTTTTAGATGGAATGCAGTGGCACGATCTCAGCTCACTGCAACCTCCGCCTCCTGGGTTCAAGTGATTCTCCTATCTCAGCCTCCCAAATAGCTGGGATTACAGGCACCCACCACCATGCTAGTTCACTTTTGTATTTTTAGTAGAGAGGGGATTTCATCATCTTGGCCAGGCTGGTGACCTCAAGTGATCCACCCGCCCACCTCAGCCTCCCAAAGTGTGGGGATTGCATTGCTCAGCCTTCTGTATTAATTAAGTCACTTTTAGTTTGAATTTTATATTGCTATTATTTGAACCTTATCCTAAGTGACACTGTCCCCAAATTTAAGAAAAAACAATTCCAGACTCATTTTCTTTCCATCAGTTGTGAATCATTAGCATTAGTATGGGAAATGAAGGAAAGCTACTTCACTGGCAAATCTCATCTTTTAGAGAAACAAAGTAGTGGCCCACAAGTTCCACTCAACTAACAGCAGTTCACTGACGATAGTTCTGATACCTGGGGTTCATCTTTCTTCCACTTCAAATGCGGTGGTGAGATACTCCTTTGGAACAATCCCAACGAGGCTGTTCAGTTCTCCCACCCACCAGCCATACATGTTATACTCCTGAAAAGTGAAAAGAGGATAGTATCAGTTAGAATTTGGCCATGCTTCTGCTCATTTATTCCAATGATTGCATGGGATATTCTGTTTGGTGGTTTCATTGTTGCCATATCACTGTGAACTGTTAACTTCCCTGATGGGATTATTTAATTTAAAAAAGTCATCTAGAGGAAGAGAGTAAGTGCTTTCATTTTGCCATCTTCCTGTCTACATTGTAAAGTTAGCACATTTGATGCCCTTGCTGAACCTAAAGAGCACTTTTTTTAAAAACCAAGCTGAATGGTATAGCTTCTTAGAGAAAGTTGGGCACACACTAAATTGCCAGAACACTGAATATATTCAAGGGGTCAAGTCATAGTTCAAATCAATAATATTTATCAAGCATTTTCTATGTGCAAAGTGCTGTTTGAGTTCCCATGAGGTGTATAATGATGAATCAGAAGATTGCTTGCTCCTTGGGAGCTTGCAGCAGAGTAATGGGTTTTGGAGTCAGACAGACTGAGATCTAGTCCTTGCTTGGTCATTTAGTAGCCACATGACCTTAGGTTCTCCTGGCTTTAGTTTCTTTATCTCTAACAGTAGGGATAATATCTCCCTTCTATATTGTGGGGATGTAAATTGTATCACTGAAGTAAAAACAACTGAAAATGTCTGATACATAGTAGGTGCTCTAAACATTGTATTCTTTCCCTTGAACATGTGAGAGGTAACAGATACATTAATAATGACAGGCTGGACATAAATGTCACAGATAGGAGCAAACAAGGAGGATGAGAGGGTTTAAAAGAGAGTTTAAGAGATGGTCACAGGGTGAGGATGAAGCTCCTTGAATTCAGAAGAGCTTCTCAAAAGCACAACAGATGTTGAAGAGTATGGGGCTATTTCTGATAGCACCAGAAACTGTTTTTTTTCTTTTCAAAGAAGTAAAATTGCCAGGCATGGTGGCTGACAACTGTCATCGCAGCACTTTGGGAGGCCGAGTTGGGAGGATCACGAGGTCAGGAGGTCGAGACCATCCTGGCCAACATGGTGAAACCTCATCTCTATTAAAACACAAAAAGTTAGCCAGGCATGGTGGCAGGCACCTGTAGTTCCAGCTACTTGGGAGGCTGAGGCAGGGGAATCGCTTGAACCCAGGAAGCAGAGGTTGCAGTGAGCTGAGATCATGCCACTGCACTCCAGCCTGGGTGAAAAAGTGAGACTCTGTCTCAAAAACAAACAAACAAACAGGAAAAAAAAAAAAAAGTAAAATTAGAATAAATTTTTTTTTTCTTTTTGAGACAGAGTCTCACTCTGTCACCCGGGCTGGAGTGCAGTGGTGCCATGTTGGCTCACTGCAATCTCTGCCTCCTGGGTTCGAGTGATTTTCCTGCCTCAGCCTCCCAAGGATCTGGGACTACAGGCATGTGCCACCATGCCCGGCTAATTTTTGTATTTTTAGTAGAGACGAGTTTCACCATGGTGGCCAGGCTGGTCTCAAACTCCTGACCTCATGGTTCGCTCACCTCGGCCTCCCAAAGTGCTGGGATTACAGGTGTGAGCCACTGCACCTGGCCAGAATGAAATTTTAAGAGTGGGAAATATCATATATTCCAGGTCAATTGGATTTGGGGTATCATAGAACTAACTGCTTCTTTGTACACCTGGTTGCTGAGTTCTAGGAAAAAAAAAAAAAAAAGAAAAGAAAACCAGAATGGTGATATGTAAAATTCAGAGTCCCTACATTATCTGGTGATCTTTTTGTCTCTAGATGCATATAATTATCATAGAATTATGATATCTAATATATCTCCTCCTCAAACTCTTGTTGCTTCTGACAACCTCTTCACCTTCAAAGAGAAAAGAGAAGCCATCAGCTTTGTCAGCCTCCAGCCACCAAAGCAGAAACTTACCTGTATTGACAACCATCTTTCTTTCCCATTAAAGCTGGGGAAGTATCCCTCCCCTGGTTTAAGACTACCCCTCAAAATATGCACTGGTAATTCTTCTTTCCTTCTGAGAGATGAGGTTCTGTAGACTGACCCTCTCTGCCTGTAATGTAAATGGCTTCTTCCATCAGCACTGAAAGGTGTTCAGATTTCTCTCATTTTTGAAAACCACCATTAAATAGCTGCCACTACATGTCTACTTCCCATTTCTGCTATTCTATGCCACACTTATTGAAAGAGTTTTCTTCCTCACTGCTCCAACTTTCTTCCTGTTCAGTGTTAAGCTGCTCTAATCAGGCTCTGTTGCCGTCCTTTGCTTATGCTGTCTCTTCATGGTCTTCTGAAACCCTGCATTGCTCAAATTCGGAGTACTTCTCAGTCCTTAACTTACCTGATCTCTCAGCAGTGCTGGCACTATTGATCCTTCTTGAGGGCTTTTCTTCTCTTGGTTTCTATGATAACTATACTCTCTTGGTTTCCCTCCTACCTCTCTGTTTGCCTCTCATTCTCCTTTGCAGGCTCATCTTGCTCAATTCTACCTTTTTTTCCCCCATTCACCTAATACACTTATCAATTCCACTTTTTAATGTGGTAATTTTCCAGGGTTCTGTCCTGGTCTTCTCTTCTGTCTTGATGCACTTTACTAGAGCAATCCCATATACCTCTGTAGTGTAACCACCATGTCTGTGTTAATCACTCACAGCCAGAGCTCCAGCCCAAGTTTTTGTTGGACCCCAGTAGCCAAGTGCATTCCATGAAGCTGTTCAAACTCAGTATGTCCTAAATTTAACATGTCATCCTGCCTTTACCTTCATCCTCACTCCAAAGCTATCTTTGCTTCCTTGGTTCTCTATCTCAGTGAGTTGTACCATGATGCACTGTTACCCAAGCCAGAATCTCAGGAGTCATTCCTAATTTTACCCCCTTCTTCTTCTTTTTTAGATGGCGTCTTGCTCTCTGTCACCCAGGCTGGAGTACAGTGGCATGATCTCATGATCTCAGCTCTCTGTAACTGATTCTCCTCAGCCTCCTAAGTAGCTGGGACTACAGGCACGCACTAACACACCCAGCTAATTTTTATATTTTTAGTAGAGATAGGGTTTCACCATGTTGGCAAGGCTGGTCTCAAACTCCTGACCTCAGGTGAGCCACCTGCCTCAGCTTCCCAAAGTACTAGAATTACAGGCATGAACCACTGTGCCCAGCCCCATCCCCCTCTTCTAATCTATCCTTGAATCCTATCAGTTCTTCCTCTAAAATATTACTAAAATATGTCATCTTCTTTCCATTCCCAGTTGCCAATACCTTAGGGTCATGAAGCTATCTCTCACATGAGAACTACAGAAACCATCTCCAAATTAGTGTCTGTATCAGCATTCTTCTTCTCCACTCTATTCATTCTGCAACCAGACTTTCTTACAGTGCACATTGATAATGTCACTGCTCTGCCTGAAAACTTTCAGTGGGTTCCCAGTGCCCCTTGTTAACTTTTTTTTTTGAGCCGTAGCTTCTGTTGCCCAGTCTGGAGTGCAGTGACACTATCTCAGCTCACTGCAACCTCTGCCTCCCAGGTTCAAATGATTCTCCTACCTCAGTGTCCCGAGTAGCTGGGATTATAGACGCCAACCACCACACCTGGCTAATTTTTGTAATTTTAGTAGAGATGGGGTTTCACCATGTTGGCCAGGCTGGTCTTGAACTCCTGACCTCAGGTGAGTCACCTGCCTTGGCCTCCCAAAGTGCTGGGATTATAGGCAAGGGTCCGTGCCTGGCCCCCTGCTTAACTTCTTAATAAGGTAGACAAGGCCCTGCATGACCTAGTCGCACTCACTGTCCAGCATTGTCACTCACCTCCTAGATTTATTGCCCCTTAGTAAAATAGAACTTGTCTCAGCTGCTCCCATGGGCCACAGGCTTCCTCGCCTTGGAACCTTTCCTCTGTTAGTAGCTTCTACTTCCCTCCTCATTTCAAGGGGCTCACTCCTAAACAGCTTTCAGATCTCAATTCCTGAGTTACTGACTCTCCAGAAGCCTCTCCTTGGCACTCTCTGACTGTGTGGGGTCCTGGTTACATGGTCCACAGTGCCGTGCTCTGTGTTTCCCTGGAAAAGAGCTTGTGATCACACTGCCTTCTATCTGCCTGTCTTTGTCTCAGTGTCAATCAGTAGTTGGAAAGTTTTGAGGACTGGACCTTGTTGGTTTTGTTTGCTGTTGTATTCTCAGCATTTAGCACTGTATGCAGCACAGAGTGGGGCCAAATAAATATTTGTTAAATGAGGCCAAGCGTCGTGGCTCACGTATATAATCCCAGTAATTTGGGAGACTGAGGCGGGTGGATCACCTGAGGTCAGGAGTTCAAGATCAGCCTGACCAATGTAGTGAAATTCTGTCTCTATTAAAAATACAAAAATTAGCCATGTGTGGTTGTGGGTACCTGTAATCCCAGCTACTCCGGAGGCTGAGGCAGGAGAATTGCTTGAACCCGGGAAGTGGAGGTTGTGGTGAGCTGAGATCAGGCCACGGCATTCCAACCTGGGCAACAAGAGCTAAACTTCGTTGCAAAAAAAAAAAAAAAAAAAACCCAAAACTTGTTAAGTGAGATTATGATGAAATGAAGGGGGCACTGGAAATATGTACTCTTAGTTGAGCAGATTTAGTTACAACTAACTCCAAGATATTCTCCTGGTGATTGAACTGTTTGTGGCAGAAAGAGATCAACTGCCGTTGGAGACAGTCTCCTCAAATGACTCCCTAAACACCAATAAGAGTCTGAAATGCCATAAGAAGTGAGACTACTGAGTTGATCCTTTCAGGACCAGGGAATTGCCTTGTTAAAATCAGCCTTAAATAACTGAATGTGTCTGTCTGCCACCTCTTCTTATGCCACATCTTTTCTTTTCTTTCTTTTTTTTTTGGATGGAATTTTTGCTCTTGTTGCCCAGACTGCAGTGCAATGGTGCTATCTCGGCTCACGACAACCTCCACCTCCCAGGTTCAAGCGATTCTCCTCCCTCAGCCTCCCGAGTAGCTGGGATTATAGGCATGTGCCACCACACCCAGCTAATTTTGTATTTT